AAATCGCTTGATATAGTTCTGAATGAACTCCCCTTCCCTCTGGACTATGCTAAGGAGGTCTTCTTGGGTCCTCGGGCACCTCTTACTAGTGACAAAGTGGGAGGTGAAGACCTGCACGAACTGCGCCCAGCTCCTTATTGAGCCCGACGCGAGGTTTTGGTACCAGGTGCAGGCTACTCCCTTGAAGGTAGTGGAGAAGGCCACGCACAAGCAAGACTCACTTGCCCTGGCCAGATGCATCTGGGATTGGAAGGCGTCGACGTGGTCGTTGGGGTCAAAGGACCCATCGTACTTGTCCAGAGGGGGAAGCTTGAAGTCCCTTGGCATGGGGACAGCGAGGAGCTCTGAGAACAGAGGGGAGGGGACTGAAAGGAGTGGTGTAGCTTTTACCTCTTCCGAACTTATTTCTACTTTGCCTCTGAGCTCGGGCAAGCTATGGGTGGTGGCAGTTCGGCGAGCTTAGCGGCGTCTCCGCTGCTTCTTGGCCGGCTCGGCGTTGGTGCTGCTGGCCTCAGTGTTTCTGAGCTCGATGGGCCTAGGGAGAGGTAGGGATGACTGTCGGTAGTTGCGAACAGAGGGACCTTATTCCAGGTCATCGGCTAGCACTTTGAACCGGTTCTCCGCAAGAAGAGGCTCGAACTGCGAACACTGCGGTGACGCCGGCCTAATCGGCTGGGAAGCCCCCGACCTGACTGCAGGTCGCGAGGCGGGGGTAGGGAGCCTTTCCTTCCTTCCATGAGACGATGCTGAGGTCTCTCCTTGGCGGGAAGGGAGTTCACTGTGGCGGTGAGGCTTAGTTGGCTGCGCAGCTGGGTGTCGGGGAGGGTGTGAAGGAAATTGTTGCTGATACTGATACTGGGACACTTGGTGCAGCACTTGCTGATGGTGGAACTGAAGTTGTTGGAATTGTTGCATTTGAGCCTACATGGGTCGCATGCACTGCATCAGGTCTTCAAACTAACCTTGGCTGGCCACCGGAGGGAGGATGGTGGGTTCAGCGAAGGTTGTTCCAATGGTAGAGGGTAATGGAACGGTCACGGGTGCCACCGTGAGGGGCACATTCAGACTAGGTACCCCATCCACGGAGAGGGGGACGGTGAACTGCCCGATGCAGACGGTGGGTAGCTAGAGTTGTTCCTCTGGGGTGTTCCGGCGTTCGGAGTTGCTAGAGGAAGCCATGGTGATGATGAGTTCTTTGAGGGATATTTCACAGAAGTTAGAGGAAGGCCTTTTGAAGCGATTCCCACAGATGGCGCCAAATGATGCTGCACAATCTGGGCACTCCTAGCTGGCTGAGGGTTGGCTCCTAGCTGTGATGGATGACACCTGAGAGGAAGAAGAAGGTGAAGGGTTCCCGGGAAGCTCTCCCGGAGGGAACACTCCGATGGCTAAGTTAGAACTCTGAGGAAAACTCAAAGAAGATACAGAGAGTTAAGAGTACTGAAAGTGCTAGCTTCAATACCTTTGCTTCATGAGGGTTGGGGTTCTTTTATATCGAAGCTCGGTCACATTTGACATAACCGCCACTGCCCTAGCCGTTACTGCCAGGGCAGGTGTGGTAGACGCAGGTTGCTTCTACAGGCTGCTATTGCAAGGTACAGACTCGACAGGCGTGCCATGCTTTTCAGAGATGGCAAACAGAACGCCGCCTGGCAAGCAGATCACCGCCTGGCAAGGGATCCGAGCCCTGCCGCCGGATCCGGTAGGTACGGATGTCAGGTAGATTTCCCTACAGCCTGCCGAGCCATTGCACACCGAACCACCTGGGGCAGGTTTGCCTTGCGCCGAGGTGCCGAGGTACGCCGAGGTGCCCACACTATAGACAGACCTTAATCAAGTTCGAATAGGAGTCTCGATGGTGCTGCCCCGAGGTGTTCCTCCCTCGGGACACTTAGCCAAAAATCGGGGTGCTCTCTCCTTAGGAAGGGAGAGCTCGGGTCTCAAGGGGAGCTCGGGCCCTGAGAAGAGTTCGGGATCTCCCACACTTGGTGGGAGTCAAGGTTGGTCGGGTGCTAGTCCCCGGCAAGTCGCTTAACCCGTCGAGTGGCCAATGTTGGACTCGATGGGTCCCTCCCACCGAGTTACGATTGTGCTGTTAGGCTGAGCTGTTCGTCGAGCCAGGTCATGCACCCGTGTCCCTGTGCCACGAGGTTGGGCCAAATCACCCTCCAACAATAACGATTCTAACGTTATCCTATACATTTACGTGTTGGTTACAAATTCTTTCTCCTGTATTCTTATCCCCTCTTGTAATCTTATCCAAAAGAGTTAGCTTCCTACTTTGACTCTATTTCTATCTTTGTATATATTTATAATCGATAATCAATATACAGATTAAAGAATTATTCTTTCATGGTATCAGAGCTGAAGAAAGTCTTCTCTTTCCTTGTTTTGAGTTTTAATTCTTCGTAATGGCTACCAACTCCGCTAAGACAATGAGTTCTCTTTGATCGATACGGTAGAGAGCCCCTATTACCTTCACCACTCTGATAACCCAAGTAAGTATGTTGCTCGTATCCTCTCCTTTGACAGGAGAAAACTACAACATGTGGAGTCACACCATGACCATGGCCTTGTCTGCCAAAAACAAATTGGGTTTTGTCAATGGCACCATTCAACAACCTAAACTTTTAGATGCCAATATTCATCTTGGCAGAGAGTGAATAATATGGTACTCTCATGGATCCTCAACGCTCTCCACAAAGATTTAGCTCCTACTGTTCTATACGCTGAATCAGCTGAACAAGTCTAGAAGGACCTCAAGGATTCATGGTGAGTAACGGACCTCGCATATACCAGCTGCAACGAGCCATCACCATGCATCAACAGCATTCTACCTCAATTTTCGCATATTTTAACACTCAAAGGATTATGGGATGAGTTGGCAAAATATACAATTGTTCCTTCTTGTTCATGTGCATCTTCAAAGGACTACACAACGGCCCAACAACAACTTCATCTGATGTAGTTCCTTATGGGCCTCAATGATGCCTTCTCCAACCTGAAAGCTCATATTCTTCTTATGGACCCCTTACCCCCGGTTACCCGAACGTACTCATTGGCCTTACAAGAAGAAGCACACAGAATGCTACAGGTCCAATCCACACCTTCACCAAATACCATGGCTCTCCATTCATCTTCACGTGATTCCTTCAACACTCCACCATCAAAGAATCAGGATTCTAGAGGGAATCGCACCAAGGATCGTTGCACTTATTGCAATATCATTGGGCACACCAAGGATGCATGTTACAAATTGCATGGGTACCCACCTAACTACAAGCCCTGGAAGCTTCGTTCCAGTCATCGTCCTAATGACAACAACAACAAACTGGCATTGAACACTGCAACTTCTCCACCATCTCTTACTCAAGAACAGTAGGACAAACTTCTCAAGCTTCTTGGTGAGACTAAATCTGGACCATCTTTAGCCAACTTCGCAGGTATTTCTTTTGCTTTTATTACCAGATGGCTCATCAGCCAAAGTTGCTTCTATTGGCACTACCACACTCTACCCTCATTTAAATTCAATTTTATTATCCATAAGCAAAATTACCAAAGCCTTAAACTGTTTTGTCACTTTTTCTGCTGATCACTGTGTTTTTCAGGACCTATTGACAAAGATGGTTTGTATTACTTCGTGGGCGCCTCACCATCAACTTCCCTTCTTTCTACCATCAAAGATTTTGACCTCTGGCCTTGGCGCATGGGACATCCTTCTGATGCTTGCCTCGCAACCATGAAGAACACCTTACACTTACCTACCACTACATCCACTATGTATTAGTGTGGCATTTACCCTTTAACTAAACAAACAAGATTGCCTTTTCTTTTAAGCACCATCTCTACTACAACTCCCTTCAAACTCATCCATTGTGATATCTGGGGACCCTACTCTGTTCCATCTCTAATTGGAGCTCGCTATTTTTTATCTATCGTTGATGATTACACTCGTTGTACTTGGGTTTTTCTCATGCAATATAAATCTGAAACCTTTGACTTAATGCAATATTTCTTTACTTATGTTTCCACTCATTTCAATACATCCATTCATTTCTTACACCCAAAAAATAGATGGGAATTCCGATCTTGACCCATGGTCCATTTTTTGCAATCTCATGGCGTCATTCCCTAGCTTAGTTGTGTCTCCACCCCCAACAAAATGGGGTGGTTGAATGAAAACACAGGCACCTCCTTAACGTTGCCCGTGCTTTACGTTTTCAAGCAGGCCTCCCTTTAGTTTCCTGGGGGGATTGTGTCCTTGCCGCCACATATCTTATTAATAGAACCCCCACTCCACTTCTTTAAGGACGTACCTCTCATGAACTCCTTTTTAGTCGTCGTCCTTCTTACGAACACCTACGTGTCTTTGGGTGCCTCTGCTTTGCTTTCAACGACCATTTCACACATGATAAGTTCAGCTCTCGTACCCGCCATTGCATATTTCTTAGCTACCCTCATGGCTACAAAGGTTGTCGTGTCTATGATCTCGACTCTCATACAACATTCATCAGTCGTGATGTAATTTTCATGAGGATTCCTTCCCTTTTCTCTCTCTCTCTCCTTCCTCTCCATCTAGCTCTCCCACCATTGTCCTACCCACACCCGTCCCAGAAATCGCAGTCTCTTTGGGAGCCCCAATCAACCCTTCCACACCTCCCACAACTGAACCTACCTCCCATACACCAACACCTATTCCCTCTGAACCAGATACCATTCCACGCACAGACAGCCCAACTACTACTTCCGCACCAACACTTCCCGCACTACGACGTTCCACTCGGCCTCACCACCCACCAGCCCACCTACGTGATTACTGTTGTAGCACTCGTCATCTACACCAACATCCACCGTCTTCAGGTATGTCCTACCTCATCTCTGACTTTCTCTCCTGTGCCCACGTCATACCCAAACACATGGCCTTTCTCACTTCCATTTCCTCTACCTCTAACCCATCTTCCTTCTCTATTGTTGTTAAAGAACCATGTTGGTGTGATGCCATGGCTGCTGAGAGAAAGGCTCCAGAGGACAATGGCACTTGGGTTATTATTGACCTACCCCCCAACAAACGGGTCGTGGGCTGCAAGTGGGTTTTCAAGACCAAATATAAGTCTGATGGAACCATTGAAAGGCACAAGGCTCGCCTTGTTGCCAAGGGCTTCACACAAACCGAAGGCCTCGATTACACAAGAACATATTCTCCAGTTTCCAAACTTACCACTTTGAGATGTTTACTTGCTGTAGCCGCTACCCAGAATTGGCATCTATTTCAACTTGATGTGAACAAAGCTATGTCGCCTTATCAAATCCCTCTACGACCTCAAACAGGCCTCTCGGAATTGGTTTGCCAAGTTCTCTTCAACTTTGCTTGCACATGGCTTTCAGCAATCTCAGGCTGACTATTCACCTTTTACTCAACGTCGTGGCACCTCCTACACTACAGTTTTGGTATATGTCAATGATATATTATTGGCTGGTAACGGCATTGCTGCTATTGATGCCATCAAAGCCTATCTGCACTCTCAGTTTCATCTCAAAGATTTTGGAGTTTTGAAATACCTTTTCGGCCTAGAAGTTGCTCTCTCCCCTTCCGGAATATTTCTCTCGCAACGGAAATACGCTCTTGATATTGTACATGATTATGGCCTCACAAATGCCAAACCTACTGCTTTTCCCATGGATCAAAACAGCCGTTTTGATGACACACAAGGTGAACTTCTAGTCGATGCCACTCACTACCGTCGGCTTCTTGGATGCCTCCAATATTTGACGGTCACCCGTCCAGATATTTTGTATGCTGTGGATACTCTTAGCCAGTTCTCTAGAAAACCGAAGAAGGTTCATTGGGATGCTGCTCTTCGCATCCTTCGCTACATTAAAGCCACACCTGGCCATGGTATCCTTCTCAGCTCCACCAGTTCACTTTAGCTCCACATTTAGTGGGACTCCGATTGGGCCTCTTGCGCCACCACAGGTTGCTCTGTAACTGGTTATTGCTGTCTCCTAGGCAACATTCCCATATATGGCTCAGTTTCCTATTTCGAGATCTCAGTGTCCCTCTCCAACCTGCTCAACTCTATTGTGACAATTATGCCACCTTACACATTATACGTAATCCAGTCCTCCACAAACACACCAAGCATGACTTCGACTGTCATTTTGTTCGCGAAAAATTGCAGTTTGGTCTTCTCCGAGCTTCTTACACTCCATCTCAACAATTGGCAGACGTCTTTACCAAGCCTCTCGGCAAAGACCATTTCTCTACATTGGCTTCCAAGTTGGTTCGAACCATTTTCTCTCCAATTTGAGGGGGAGTATTACAATAACCATTCTAACGTTATTCTACACGTTTACGTGTTGGTTTCAAATTCTTCCTCCTGTATTCTTATCCCCTCTTGTAATCTTACCCAAAAGAGTCAGCTTCCTACTTTGACTCTGTTTCTATCTTTGTATATATTTATATCGTTGTACTCTACTCGATAATCAATATGCAGATTGAAGAATTATTCTTTCAAATATAAATTATAAAATAACACGTAGGTAAAAGAAAAAGAGAAACAAATTCCAGCCAAGAATAGAAACTAATTCAAGAAACAAAACCCAAAAGCCAAACGCCATCCTCAATTGAACCCAAAGCTTAAAATCAACCAAGGACCGAAAAAACAGAAAAATTACATGACGGTGTAAGGATTGTTGGTACTCTCAATGGGAAAATCGATGATCCCACCTTGCAAGGTTTGGCTATGCCTTACACTATCACGAGCTCTAAACTCACTCAGCTAAACTCTCTAGTTTATCGGAAAGGTTCTTTCGAGCTTCAGCCTCTTCGGAAATCCACAAAACACCACTGCCGGCAAGAAATGGCACCCAAAACCAAGATCAGAAACCAGCATTTCATTTTGATTTGCTTCTCACTCTTTCCCGAGAACAAAAAAAAAATGTGATCTTATATTATAAACCCGTACAATTCAGACTCTTCTTTGCCCTGTCACTAGATCGAGGTGTGTGTCTTTCTGTATCACTGAAAGCGCAAAAAGAGAAGAATAGAGTGTGTGAGAGACAAAGCAAGAAACAGACTAGAGACTGCCCAAGGTCCTAAGCAGAGAGAAATCAAGAAGAGAGAGGAGACCTCGACAACGGCCACCAACAGAGAGAGGAATGGGGGTCGGAATTTGGAGAGGGTGATGTTTAACGGTGAAGACGTTAACGTCTTTCTTTTTTTAAAATGAATTTCTTTTTGAAATGTTTATTTTTAAAACCGGTTACATGAGATAACCTATATTCATCAAAACAGACAAATCGAATGTTGATTAATCCATATCATCCGATATGATATAGAAAATATATTTTTTCTATATCATATATACATTATTAATAAAATGAAATAATACAAAATGGGTATCAATTTATCCTTTACAAATTCGATCACAATAGCATATTCTCCGATAGCACTTTCGTCTACGCCATTCCGCACAACTGTGGGAAGATCAGCCAAACACCGGCTATAAATGATAGAGTGAATGGCCATTATGGCCTAGTAATTAAAAAATATTTCAATAATTTGCAACAAGGTTGACTGGTAACCATTGGGATTGGATACGTCTCCACTGTGTCATATTTGCTAGGTTTTGGTAAAGCCTTTTTTTTTTCATCTAAATCTCTGTGAGAAAAAAATAAAATGAAAGCATAATACTAATTTCAATCTCTAATAATCAACGTGTTATTCTAAGACAATTTGTTCAGTCTGGTTTGACCGTTTGAATTCAATAGACAGCCTGTTTTGACAAAAAAAATAAAAATAAAAATATTTAAAAATAACGACTAAAACCATAAGACAGTTTGAATAATTCGATCGCCCGAATCAACAGTTTATTAACCAAATTAATGATTTTTGATGAAATAACAATTCTGGGGTAAAACGAAACCGGTCACTGATCAATTCCCAATTTTTTTGGTCCAACTGTCTGGTCAAGTCCAGTTTTAAAAACCATGAAATAGACCCATTTGAGCCAAAACACTATCGTCCGATCTTCCTACTTTGCTTTTAGTTCTATGTGACTCAAGGGATGATGGTGTAGTTCTAGGCAAGAATCAGAAGCCATTCGTGTGGCTTTAACCAACTATGTTACAATTTTGGAGAAATCAACTGAAATAGTGAAACCTCCCCTCAACTGTTTTACAATTGCCAAACTTTTCCTCTATTTATTAGATCATCCTCTATTAGATAAAATGGTATTGAATATTGATTACATATTATTATTTGGTCAATATATTCTGTTAAATATTGATCTTTCGTGAACCCACCTGACTTCATTTTTTTTTTAAGAACTATGTACCCTTCTCTCTAATACACGAAGTGACCATATATAATATTGTCACTTGTTTCACAGAAAACCCTGTTTATTTTCTTGGCTATTGTTTAAGGAACAATCAAATTAGGTTTAGGAAGAGTGATGATTCAACCAAATTCTCTTCTTGCAGTCAAGCTTTAGAGTTTGTTAAGCTTTAATTTTGCAGAAGATGGCTTAGGATTGCAGGATTCTGGGATTTCCTTTTATGTAAAGAACAGGGAATCAACCTACTTTTCCCCTACATCCATATCTGGGGAGTTAACTTCTTTTTCCAGCAATTGACGGCTTCTCCTTTAGTTAAACTGAAAGTGGGTATTCTATATTTTGAAGAGTATTTTGATCATTTAAAATATGACCATTTGCCGTTTGTTAAATTGACAAAAGGACAACAGAGTTTTTGTCCCTTTCTTTCTTTCCCATTATAAAAGGTAAAACCAATTAAAGTAATTAATGGAATATCAGCCAATAGACAAGGTTCTAGCAGTCTAGCTAGATAGGAAATATTAAGGAAGATGGAAAATTGTGGTACGTAATTAATTAAGTGACAATTTACCAACTCCATAAGTTAATTTAAGCATGTTTGGAATCAATGCAGTTTTTTGAGAAAATGGTGTTGTATTAGTGTACTGTTTGTTTAGAAAATATTTTTTTTTCATTTTATTTTTTTGTGACAATTTGTTGGTCACTGTCACATAGGTGTTTTTCAATGCCACACCAGTATAATGTTGTTAGCAACGGTTGAAAAACCTAAGTAAAACACCAAAATGATGTTTTTTATACACCCTTCTCAATTTTTAAGCCATGGTCTGAAAAAATGTATAACCAAATAGCATGTATGGTCTGAAAAAACAGATCTCAAACGTGGTACTGATGTGATGCCATTTTTTAGGCTCAGTTTGGAAAGAGTACAAATGCAAATATGTACCGTGCAAATACATATAAACCAATACAAAAATATAAGGTTTTGCACTCTATGTATTTTGCATTTGTACTCCTTCCAATCTGAGCCTTAAGAAAAATGCATCAGCTCTAAATACAGGTTGACTCAGCTAGCAAGATTTCAACCAACTGATTGGTAAGGTCTCCTACGGGTTGTAATAGAGACTTGGGATCGAATCCTGCCTGCACATAGGTTGGGGGATGGGCTACCATATCAGTACCCCCGTTGTGTAGCCCTTCAAAACAAATAAAAAAATAAATCAAACAACCTTTTCGAAAGAATTAATTAAATTCTTTTCCACAATTTGTTCAATCAATAAAAGAAACGCATTGTTGTTGTTCAGTATGTGGGTCGTCCCATTTACAACTTTTTTCATTGCAGTGAATCAACACTGTTACTGTTGCTTGAAGTTCATATGATTTAACATGTCATTTATGGAGGAAAAAGCTTCGTCTGTCCAGGAGGCAATGGGGGAGAGCTCTCTTGGCATCCCAAGCTGTTTGCACAGGTTTTCCTACATTTTTTTTCTCTTTCTATATTTTCTTTCAAACCAAACACAGCTTAAAATCTGAGTAACTAGAATAATTACAAGCTTTCTCCTTTGATAATTTGTTTTTAAGGCTCTAGATTTGAAAATCTTTGAGATGATGCCTACAAATTAAACAACATTTTACGGAGTTTTCAAAAATGTGAATTGTTTTTTTTTTGTTTGTTTCATGTTTCAAAAGCAAATCAAAACCATTTGATTTGAAAATGGATTATTTCTCAAAACAAAATTACAGAAAAAACATGTTCTTGATTGTGTATGTGCTTCTTATTTTAAAGACTGAAACTGAAAAATGTTCTCGAATTTTTTGTTTTAAAAACATGTTCTCATCTGGTTATTTAATATAATTTTCCATAAGTCATAGTTTTTATACTAGAATATTTGGTTTTATTTTAAAAACCACTATTTTGTGAGTGTTCCATATCATGGTTGTTTTTTTTTAATAAAAAATAACTGCCACATCAGTAAATACAATATAATTCTGCTGATGTGGTAGTCATTTTTGTTTTCAAAAACAAAACCAAACCATGTTGTCGAATACCCTTTTGATGAGTTCAAAAACATGTATTGTTTCTTGAAACAAAATAAACTTACTTTTTGCCATTGAAATCAAAAACAGAATTTGAGAATATAATTTTATATTTTTTGCTGATATGATGATTTGAAAAACAAATGAAAAGGTAAACATTCATGTTGTAGAACACCCTTTAGAGTTTAGATTACTAGTAATCTGTTAATATTTTGTAAAACGATAATTTTAACTCAGGTAATTAATCTTTGATTGTTTTAGAACTGAATGCATATATGAATGTATTTCTTTCTTTGGATGCCCCCTGATGTAGTGCAATCTGATTATTCTCAGCTGGAGGTGATCTAGCTTCCAATAGACGACGAACTCGATTGATCTGCAAAAAGTGAATCAGAGAATCTGGGGTTGCTTACCCGACGAGGTCGCTTCGATGCTTCAGTCAATACTTGGTTGCGAGCTGATAATAGCTTAGAATGCAAGAGAACTAGAGAGAAGAGATTACGCGTACCTTGCACCCCCGGGGGGTGAAGCCTTTATATAGTGGAGTCCTCGTGGGTTTCGCGGAGTGGTTCCGGAATCCTCGACTCGATGAGGTCCGTTTCCGTGATAATTGGGGATAACGTTGCCAACTGATAAGATTCATCACTTTCACCCGAATCAGACAGGGGAGATAATGTTAGCTGTTACGAGGCGTGATCCTGTGAGGTGCGGAATCTGGTGGCGATATCTTCGGGGTTTCCAAGCAGTGGTCGGTCAATATTACCCGAGCTAGTGCCCTTTGGATCCGACTTGGTATGAATACCGAAGTGCCTTGGGACCGAGGTGGTCCTGATGCGATCGTGCATTGAGGTGAACTCGTCCCGAGGTAGACTTGCCCCGAGGTGGTTTGGTTATTCGAGCTCGACCCGTTGCAGACTTGGTATATCAAACTGAACTGTCACCCTGCTAATTAGGTCGTGTCCATGTGTCCCCCTATTAGTAGGTCAGGCCAAATCACCCTCCATCACCCCCAACCCATCTTTTGAAGTCTTGACTACATGTTTGAGATTCACTACTCTTTTTTAGTAAGCCAAGGGAATGAAAAATCTTTCATTTTACTTCTCTAACAATTGAATTGAATTTATGATAAAATTAAGTCAATTCAGGTGAAAACTACTTGATCGTTTTCTTGAGATTTCTTATCATTTACTCCATGAATCCAATTCGCATATGATGTGGTAAGCAAAATCGAGGATTATGTCGGGTTGAGGTCAGATTTGATCCAACCAAATCCCTTTAATTCCGGATGAGGCCTCGCCAACTTGCAAAAAGACTAAAGTTAGAACTCAGGGAAGAAATTACAAGTATTTATTAGTCATGGTTATCAATGGGTTGACCATGGGCCGGGCCAGGCCAGGCCGGGTTTAGCACCTATGTAACGGCTACACCTTGGGCCCTGGCACATGCTATGGTATCCTATTCCTTAATACATTAAATTTTAATACGTATGATATTTATAATACAGATAATTTTATAATATTAATATATAATTATATATTATCAAATAAATTTGGGTCAGGCTGGGCCCAATACAAAACCCAGGCCCAAGCCTGAAAATTTGCTATCTGTCCAGATTATCCTGACTTCCAATCACCTCCTCTGAACTTTTATGACATAGTTTCAAGTAGACTCCTTTCTGTTTGAAATCTTTAAAAAAAGTCAAGAAAATATTCAAAATGCCCATGTAGTTATTATGACCAAAATAAGTTTTTTTTACATAAAATCTCTACCCCAAATTCTTCTAATCTTTTTTCTGAAATTGATTTATTTTTCAAATTTGTCCTTCGTATCAATCACTCAAATATAAATTTGCAACTTTAAATTCTCTTTTTTTTGTTTTAATAAGGTTTATATTATTCTTTTTTCTATAGAAGCAGCATCAATAGTAACTGTATGGGAATTTTGGACATTTTGATGTCTCTTTTTAGAAGATTCTAATGAAAGGGGTCTATGTTCAACTGTGTAGTATGTGTCAAAAGTTTAAGGAAGGTGATTGCAATTACCAAACTTCAGGATCAAGGATTCCAAGAGTAAAGTTGTAAAAAGAGCTCTCATTTTACCATTTAGGCCTCGTTCACTTTTCGGTAAGTTATTTATCCGAGTAAATGCAATTACCTGGGTAAGTTTTTGCAGGAAACATTTACTTGGGTGAGTGCATTTACCCATGTTCTTTAATTTTCCAAGTAAATAATGCAATAACCATTTTAGCCATAAAATTCCATTATTAAAAGGGGCATTTTTGTCCCATTCAAGTATTGTCAATTTCTAGGTAAATGATACCCATGAAAATAAACTTTCCCTAATCCACACATAAATTTGAATAAAGAACATAAGGTTCTTGGTCAATGGAAACCACAATCCCATTAACTTTTCCTCTCAAAATTTCAAAAAAAACGCCCCCTTACTTTTTTATGTGACCCACCATAAAAAAAAAAAAACAGGATTTTAAAAGATTGCCTCGACTTTTAAACCCTATTCTCTCTCACCATCCTTTGCTCTCGGAGTCTGTATGTGTGCGTTTCCGATAAAGATTGTTCCTCTCCCTGTGACCAAATATGGAGCTCTTGAAATCTTAAAACCAGTTTAATCAAATCTAAATCTTCTTCTTAGGTGAATTTTAATTTTAATCCTTTCAGCTGGAATTTCTCCCATTGTCTACGTTGCTTGAGCAGTTGAGCTGCACAACAATCCCATATACAACTGTTTTATCGACTATCTACACAGTAAAACCAAATGCAACTTTCCATTTAGGTGCTAGTTTGAACTAGAGTGTCTAGCTGTTTGATTCCCATTTCAATTCAAGGAATTTCCTAGCTATATGTACAAATTAAGGTTCAAAGTGTTGATATGATACATTTTTTGTCGAACGTATCGTATCGTATCTTTTCGTTTCGATACATTAATTTACAAATGTTTTAGGATCTCTTTTATTTTAATAAAAAAAGGTTTAAAAAGCATTTTCAGAAATCAAGTTTAAAAAAAATAAATAAATAAAACATTAAGCGGATACACGGGAGTATCGATACTTTGAAGCTTCTTGTGCATTTACTGCATTGTTTCGGTTTCAAGAAAGCATTTTACCGGAAATTGACTCTTTTACAAAAAGGTATAGAAAGGTTTTGGAAAATTTTCCTATTTTGATCTTCTGATCGTTAAATGATCAGTCTTTCTCCATTCTTATGCATGATAAAAGTTTGCTATTTCTTTATAAGGGGAGGGATGGAGATTAAACCTGTTCATGGGCCTTATTTCGGCATGTGCATCGATTTTGTCAAAATTTGAATGAATCTGGCCCCAAGTTCGAACTCAACAACCCCAAAGTCCAACCCGAGAATAGGTGCAGTGGACACAAATCAGTAATATATAAATATCGGAGTGGCCGGACTGTCCTTAAATCTATTGAAAAAGTTTCTAAGATGATGTTGTGGTAAAAAATAATTGAGGTCCACGTAAGAGGTGGATCGAAGGGTCATGGCACGTAGGGAATATAATAATCCACTAGCCAAGTGCAGTGCTGCGAAAGCTCAGTTGATGATGTTCTTGAGAAGAGAGGCTGCTCGAGAAATGCAGCACATAGAAAGATCAAGATTTAACGTCTGATTGGCTACTTCCATCTCGTAGTAAAGGCGTAATACTTCTATAAATTCAAGACTTTTCCCTTCCAGGTCTTAGAAGTTAGAAGTTAGAACCACAGTGAGGAGAATGCAAAATGTTATTCTTTCTTCTCCTCTCTCTGTTCCTCTTCTCGCCTTCTTTCTCGTCTCCCACTCTTTCGGCCACCGTCCGCTGCAACCCATCAGACAAAAACGCCCTACTGGCGTTCCAGAAATTCCTCTACATCCCTAGCGACCTCCCTTCTTGGGACCTCCGTACTGATTGCTGTAAATGGACCTACGTTCACTGCGACCCCTTAACTAACAGAGTCACCCAACTCGTCATCACCTCAATCAATACCGGCCAATTCCCGGTGGCTCGGGGCCCAATCCCAGCGGCCGTCGGCGACTTACCCTATCTCGAAACCCTCTCCTTTAATGACATCATCAACCTTACTGGCTCCATTCCTTACTCCATTACCAAACTTCAGAACCTCAAACGCTTGGTTATCAGTGGGACCACTCTTTCTTCCTCCATTCCTGAGTTCCTCGGCCAGCTCAAAAACCTCGAGTACCTAGACCTCTCAGCTAACGAACTCTTCGGTTCAATCCCGGCTTCCCTCGGAAATCTCGGCAGATTGGTAAGTCTAGAGCTCCAGTCAAACAAACTCACTGGTAAGATACCCAATTCGCTGGGCCGATTGAACCCAGAAGCGATCGTTCTTTCAGATAACAAGCTTTCGGGGGATGCGTCAATGTTGTTCAGCGCCGATGGAAGGGCCAGATGGATCAATCTTTCCGGGAACCGGCTCGAGTTTGACCTGTCCAAGGTGATGTTTCAACGGAACTTGACGTTCCTGAGTTTATCGTACAACAGAATTGGAGGAAGCATTCCGGAGCAGGTCACGGAGTTGAATCTGATACAAGTGTTTGATGTGAGCTACAATAGATTGTGCGGAAAAATTCCGGTCGGCGGGAGGTTACAGCAGCTCGGGGCGCCACCTTTTCTTCATAATCGGTGTTTGTGTGGTCCGCCCCTATTCAAAAAGTGCAAAGCCTAAATGCCAGCGTTACCGGTCTCGAATTTTCCGGCCGGTTAATTTACTATCGTTGAATTAAATAAAAATGATTTTAATCTGATTATATGATCTGATATGGCATATATAATTGATTCAGATTCTACTGTGTATACATTGACGTGGATGAAGATCAAGAAATACCAACAGCCACAGGTTGTGTTCGGTAGGAGTTTTTCTCTGATCCTATACTGTTATACACGATGAGGATTCGACCCAACCTGATCCGTAATCTTTCAATTGTTGTAAAGGGAAAATGCCTGATAAGTACCCTGTATTTTGGTTCCAGCAATAATTTGGTCCCTAACTTTCAAAATGTGATAATTCAGTATCATATTTTTAAAATATGAAAATCTAGTTTCAAACTTTCAAAATGTGACAATCTAAAACCTGCCATTAATAAGTCATTAAGTGACATTTGGAAAGTAAAAAATGCCTTAAGAATGCAATTTAATTCTCTTTATCAATCATTCAAACATTGACAATAAAATAAACAGTCACAAATTCTAGATTATTCTAAACAGTCACCAACTTTTTTGAATAGAAGATGTTAGGATTTGGGACTGTTCAGTTTTTTGTCAATGTTTGGATGGTTGATAAAGAGAATTAGATGGCATTCGAAGGGCATATTTGACTTTTCAGATGTCACTTAACGACTGATTGTTACAGTATGAAAGTTCGGGTATTGCATTGTCACATTTTAAAAGTTCAAGTACTGGATTATCTCATTTTAAAGTTTGAGGACCAAATTGTCACTCGAGCCAAAGTACGAGGTATTCATTGGGAATTTTCCCTATTTAATTTTCAAATGTCACTTTAAATACAATTTATTAAAAATATAAAAGCAATTAACTTAAGTGGAATTTAGTTTATGGGTTTGTGGTGTTTCTTTCGGTTCGAGATCTGCTACCCACAAGTTATATCTACATGCATACCCACAAAGCACTACCACCATGTATTGGGAATATCTAAGAGAGATATTCACAATGCGCAATTGTCATGTCTCGTAGATCCGAGCTCGTTTTTTTCTCCATGGTGAAAGATGAAAAACGAAAACATGAAGAAAAATTCTAAACCGTAAGATTAAGGGGCTAGAAATTGGCTTAAAAAGGGGGGGGGGGTTAGAAGTTGTATAAAATTGCCAGAATATCCTTTATATGCAAGAGTATATCATGACCCGACAGGATATGTATCAGCAAAGCCCAATCTGACTCGGATTGAATAATCAGAATGCCAACCAGATCCTACACGAGAGTAAACATGATCCTGTCAAATCGGATAATATATCTAGCACTCTACTAGTTGGATCACCATGGATTGTAGGTATTAAGGCTGTGTTTGGTTTAAAGGAAAAAGTAGGGAAAAGAAAGGAAAGGTAAGGAAACCTTCACAAAACTTGTATAGATTTCCCTATCTTTCTTTCCTTTCCCTACCTTTTTCTTCAAACCAAACATAACGTAAGGGTGAGCAAATGCATAGGTCTTACCTATAACCCAATGAAATTGTTCTTGAACAGGCATTAAATTGATATTATCCAATCTATTACATGGTAGAGTATGGCTCCAAATTCTTGGAACCGATCTCCTACCCAGGTCGGTTCTAGGGTCAAGGAGTTTATCCGATTCATAAAACAACCGGATGAACCGGTCTTAGTGGAACTAGCCTCAGAACTAAACTTGTCTTGAAATAAACCCTAAAATACTTTTAATTAAGGATCTCAAGATTTAAACCCAAGCACTCATAGTTACAAAAGCCATGGTCTCACTTGACCATTGAATTACTTAAGTGATTTGATCATTTGTTTTTACTTTAATATTTGAATGGTATGATAGTAAATAATGTAAAAGGTAATATTTATAAAATTTAAATTATAATGACAAATTCTGAATCATATATTATTATATTATGATAATCTACATATTAAATTACTCAATTTAATCAATAAAGATAATATAAATTTTAAACTATATATTAACATTATCGGAAATCAGATTTTTAAAAGATATATTTCATTTTTCTTTAAGGAGGAGATTAACGAAATAATAGGTTCCACAGGTAGACTTTAAAACCAACCAAGGTCAGAACCAACCTTGAAACTGCCAAGGCCAGAATCGACCTTGAAACTAACCTTCGCAGGATAAGTTTCAAGTTCAGCCATAGAACTGAACCAAACTGAAACGACCCATTCTCACCCCTAATAGGTATGCCAGTTTCTATGAACCCCAGCTTTTAGCAAGACCATCTGCTATACCATGTTTCTCTCTCAGAATCTAATTGAAGGTGGCATGCAACGCTAGTGCCAAATCTGTGGCTTTTATTTATATATATAATGGGCCAATCTCCTCGGCCCATCTCATCTTCTAAGGTGAAATATAGAAGGCAATGCGCAAAATCACTAATCGGTTCGTAGGGATGTATCTATGGGCAATCATGGACCGGGATGGACTGGGTTTAGCACCTCTTTATAGCCTATGCCCGGACCTGATTTTTGACCTACGAATTTTATGTATAAAATATTATATATATGTTTTATTGTATGTCATATAATGTGTGTAGAAAAATTAATATAAAAAATCATATAATATATATTATAGTATAGGTGTCATTTTAAAATATTTATATATAAATATAAAATTTAACATAAAACAACACATGTGAATATATATAAAAATATAAATACATTGGGTCAGGCTAGGCCTAAAGTGTTAGGTTCAATCCTGAACTTGAAATTTGTAGGCCTGATATAGGCTCTGAGCCTGAACACAAAACCTAAGACCAAAACTTTTGGGCTGGGCTGGCTTTTTAGGGGTCAGGAAGAAAATGATCACCCCTACAGGGCGTCGACCAAACTTTGGTGCGCAGTGCGCTCCAAGTTTGTTACCAAATTAGTCAAGCGAACTATATAGAGAGAGAGAAACAACCCTTAGTCCTTAATAACCAGGAAAGACTGAAAGAGCGACGAACATGAATTCAATGGGCCAGAGAAACAACAGGTAACGAAAAAAAAAACATAGTAAATGACCATTGATCACATGAGTTTCTTCCCTACTTGGGCACATACTATGTTTCACCTGGTCAGAATCGATAGGCTCTCTATTCAGGATGAGATCAAGCTCATCAAGCACATGGGAAGAAAATGAGAGCAGAATCAAGGGACCTTTGGCTTAATTTGACTAGACACACCCACTCAAGCTCATATGATTCTCTCTATAAATTTAAAGCATAACTCTCCTTTCCTCTGTAACTTATTAGCTCAAATTTCACGAAGAAGAATATCGTCGAATATGGAAATTTGTAGAAGAGGTAGTGCCTGTTCGCCCTCTTCTTTCCTTTTCCTCATCCTCTTCCTCCTCTTCATTTCGTCCTCTTTCCCATCTCTCACTCTGTCCGCCTCCTTCCGCTGCCACCCAGATGATAAAAACGCCCTACTAAACATCAAGAAATCCATAGACATCCCCAAAGATTCTTACGTCCCCTGGGATCCCAACACTGACTGCTGCGAGTGGGAGGACGTCACCTGCGACCCCAACACCAACCGCGTCACTGGTCTGGAGTTTCGTATGATCACCGTCTTCGGCCAAATCCCAGCTAGCATCAGCAACCTTCCTTACCTTGAAACCTTTGTCTTGGCCCTTTTGAAGAACGACAAACTTCCCGGTTGCATCCCCGACTCCTTCGCCAAGCTCCACAACCTCAAGAGACTGGAGATCAGTTGGAGCCCTCTCTCCTGCCGCACCCCCGAATTCCTTGGCCAGCTTAAAAACCTGGAGTACCTCGACCTCTCCCATAACAAACTCCACGGTCCAATTCCGTCATCACTCGCGAATCTCAGCAAGTTAGTACATCTTCGGCTCAACGACAACAAACTCACCGGCAGGATTCCCAACTCACTAAGTGCGTTAAACGTCGAACTGATCGATTTGTCCTTCAACAAGCTTACAGGAGACGCGTCGATGTTTCTGAGAGCCGACGGAAAAGTAAAGGATATCCTTTTGACGGGGAATCGACTGGACTTTGATATGTCCATGGTGGGGTTTCCAAAGAACCTGAAGGCGCTGCATATTGGGGGAAACAGGATTCGAGGAAGAATTCCGGAGCAAGTGACGGAGTTGAAACGACTGGAAGCGTTTGATGTGAGCTTCAATCGTTTGTGCGGAAGGATTCCTGTGGGTGGGAATATGCAGAAGCTTATTGCGAGCTATTTTTATCATAATCGGTGTCTGTGTGGTCTGCCACTCCCCAACAAGTGCAAGTCGTAACTCGGCCAGCTCCGGAGCATCCAATTTCTGGTTCAGGGCTTTGAATGGTGAGAGAAGTTGGAGATTTGACTGTTGATATGATATGATATACGCCTTTACTCATATAAGAGGCCAAAGATGTGATGTGCGTCTTTGGCTTCCAGTACTGCTATCTTTTTATGATTAGTGGCTTTCAATAAAATTTCCTAAAAGTAAAGCTTAATGACTTTTCTAGCTTTATATTTGACTTCCACGCTAAAATAATCTTGAAAGCTTTAGTGTGGCAACGGTTTCCATTTTCCTCTTCCACGCTAAAAGAATCTGAAGAAGCACTTTGTTGAGGTAAATTATTAAGCTGTTTGGTACCAGACAAGAAGTGTTTTGCATGGGATTTATCTTAAAAAATGAGATGAATGATTGATAAATGTTTTGGCTATTAGGCATCATATAAGCTGAACATTTAATAAATACTTAGTTGTTGAGGAAACATTAAAAATTTAAAGTGATGTCCTTTAATTATATTATAATTACTTAAAATACCAATGAAGTTTTAGGCCTTACTTAAAATACCCATAAACTTTTATAAATATGACACATATTACCCTTCCATTAGTCACCCCTTTGAAATTTCTAAAACCCAACTTTTTCCTTTTGTTATTACAACTTTGATTACCTTTAATAAAATTTGAAAAGGGAAAATTTTTTAAACTACCCTTATAGTTTAGCTAATTGACTAAGTATACCCTATTGTTTGACTATTGTCTAATAGTACTCTTATTGTTTCAGAAAATTACCATTATTGTTAAAATATTAACAAAAGTGTTGAAACGCATGTTTAACCCTTAGGTCAAATTGGAATCTCCTCTGGTTCTTCTTCATCTTCCTCGGTTTGTCTTCGTCGCCCAGGTCCAGATCTGGGTTCCTTCATTTGAGATGAGGTGGGCAACTATGGAGGAGCTTTGAACAAATACAGATGTAGATCTGAGCAGAGGGCTACCTTGTACCTATACTAGTTTCAACTTTCAAAGCCAACATAGCACCGACCTCTCTCTCTCTTCATCCCCTTCGTTCTCTCTTCCTCTCGCCCTTGTTTCATCACTGTCGTTGTAGCAGCGATGGATCCCTCCACGTCCAACCTCTCTCTCTCTCTCTCTCTCTCCCTCTCTCGTTCCTTAAATCATTACTTCCCTCAAAACTGCCCAAATCTAGGAATCAAAACACACTACCTCCTCTTTGGCTCATTCCAATGAACTTTGCATGAGATGTAAAGATCAAAGCGAAAAATGAATGCTTGAACCCTACAGAGTGGAATTGTCTCTGTAGGGAGCTATCTCTGGTGAGATTGAGGCTCAGAGATAACCAGTGAAAAGATGGATAATTCTTCTTGTCTTCAAGACAAATTTTCTCTTCACCGCAGAGTAGAGTTTCTGGGTTTTCATTAGCAGATTGGTAGGAAGTGATGGTGACTCTCTTGAAGAAGACGGTGAAGAAGGAGGAGAAGAAGAAGAAGAAGAAGGGTTAGGGAGGGGGATGAAGGGTAAAATTGGGTTTAAAAAATATTTCACGTGTGGTGGAATATTAATGAATGCTAACGGTAAGGGTAGAGCTAGTTAATTGTCAAAAACAGTAGGAATAGCATTAGACAATAATCAAACAATAGGGGTATACTTAGTCAATTAACTAAACCATAAGGATAGATTAAGAAATTTGCCCATTTAAAAACAATAAGAAAGCATCTTAGGAGCAAGGGAAGTAACCACCGGCGAGTCTTCTTCTCTCAGGCTACCGAAAACGATCATCTTCCTAAATTAGCATGTATACTCACCCAAATTAGCATGTATACTTTCCCAAGGGTACGTTCTGTACCCTCTTTGTATTGAGTGGTCCTTCACCATAGTCCCAGGAACCACCACATTGTTAAGTTTATTGCATCAAATAATATGCCTTAAGAATACAAAACCCCAAAACCAAGAGAGCAAACAAGCCATCTCCAAATTCAAATTAAAGCAAAGGCCTTAACAAGTAAATCACCATGGAAGAACGACAACATCTTTTGTAATTAGGAACATATCATTAGTGGAAGGATCTTATAGGAAGGTATCTCTTCAAGAACTAGTCTTCTGCTGGGTAGTTGTTTATATGAACAATATATGACGCTTTCTTAGATTCACTAATTGACTAAGGCCATGCTTGGGAGTGCTTAAAAATAAGTGATTATTTGGGTTGGGACCACACCATTAAGCACTTGGTGTTTGAGAAATAAGACCTAAATAAGTGCTTATTTTAAAAATAAGGGCTTATTTTTTAAGCCCAAAATTCCAACTTTTTTTTAAGTGCTTATACAATAAGCACTTATTCAAAATTTTCTTCCAAAATTAGCCCTAGTTGAATTTTAAAATACCACTTATAAAACTGTCCCTAGTTGAATTTTATAAAAGTGTTTTCGTAAAAGTAATTTTATAAAAGTATTTCTATAAAAGTAATTTTATAAAAGTATTTCTATAAAATTGCTTTTATAAAAGCACTTTTACGAAAGTGCCTTTATTAAAGTTTTTTATAAAAGTAATTTCGTAAGTTTTTTTATTAAAGTACTTTCGTAAAAGTGCTTTCATAAAAGTACTTTCTTAAAAGTACTTTTATAAAAATGTTATTATAAAATTGCTTTCGTAAAAGTGCTTTTATTAAAGTGCTTTCATAAAAGTACTTTTGTATAGGGCTACAATTGAAACAAGCTGAGTCAAACTTTGGCATGTCTTGGCTTGGCCCAACTAAAATACTACTAAGTTCAAGTTCGAGCTCGAGTTCGATTCGAACTATATTTTTTGGCTCGAGCTTGATTCAATTAAATATTCAATGAACTCGAGTTTAGCTCAAAAGCTCGAAAATAAATATATTTGTACATTTTATATGTATGATATTTTATTATATAATATATTCTTATATTATATAGAATATAAAAAATATTTTATAATATTCTTTATAATATAATATATATGATATTTTTTATAATATATAATATATATTTTTTATGAATGTATGTATGTGTTAATCAAGCCAAGCTCGCAAGCTTCCGAGCCAAACTTTTTATTGGTTGAGCTCGAGCTCGAATAACTAATCGAGCTTACCCCAAAGTTCGAACTCAACTTGAGCTCGATTGGAATTGAACTCGAATCAAGCCTAATCAAATTCGAGCCCAAACTATTCGATTAGAGCTCAATTCGGTTGCAACTCTGCTTTCATAAAAGTGCTTTTAATAAAATTTGAAAGAAAATGAAGGACAAAATAGTCACAAATGCTTATTTAAGTGCTTATTGGAGAAAAAGACTACTAAACGCCCAATGTGAAATGAGCACTTGAAAATGTTGGGTGCCATATGCAAATAAGTGCTTATTTGAATAAGCACTTCTTTTAAGTATTTATTCAATAAGCACTCCCAAACATGGCCTAATTATGTGAAGCAATGTTGTCGTAGTAGAAATGTAGTCTTGTTTTTGGCTTCATTTCTAATTCTAGCATTAGCATAATAGCATGCCATTGTAGTTTGAAATACACCTATAATGATCATTCACTCACTCTACTTATAAATCTTCAACTGCAGTACCTATTTCTCAACCCCAAACCATAGCATTAGCATAATAGCATGCATTCAAGCTGCAGATCCTATAATAGTACTAAGGATTGATTTGAGCCCAGCTGAGTCGTGCCAAATATTTGGCTGTTGGAGCTCAGCTCGTCAATAAACTATAAGGCTCGAGCTCGAGCTCGATCCAAGCTAAAGTCTTGCATTTGAATTCAGCTCGAGTCAAAATCTCATAAGTTCAAGCTCGACTATGATCTAAACATTTTATAAAAATAAAAAGTATACATATTAAAAATTATTTTTTTATTTGACAATTAAAAAATAAGAATTATAAAAACTAGTTATTATTATATATATAAAAAATAAAAATATTATATATATAGTATTTTTTATGTATGTATATATGTATGCATGTAAAAGCTTGATTAGGCTAGCCAACTGAGATTTACTGGGCTCGAGCTTGGCTTGAAGCTCAGTTTAGACTTGTGGCCACCCCTAAATAGTACTCACCCAAAGAAAATTCAGAATCAACTTATTCATCCATGTCCCAATATGATTCAAGCAAGAATGGAGCCCTCTCTTATTTAGTCAAAGACTCTCTGTTGGCTTTTAGCTTTGACATCCATGAAGGCAACTATCCAATTGCCACTTGTCGAAACTCCCTTTCCATGGAGAGGAACTAGTAGGGCTCTGTGCGATGCACGAGAGAAGTTGATGTCCAATATGATGATGGAGGGGATTAAAATTGAAGCAAAAGAGCAATCTAAGTATTGTTTTTGTTAAGAGAAATTGAAGCAAAAGGAGACTTGTGACATTTCCAATTGGGTTGTGTTGGTTCACTCCAACTAAAGTATTAATTTTGGTCAAATGTTGTTTTTTAATTTTTATTAATTATAATAAAATTAAAAATTTTATTATTATTTTAAAAATTATTAAATTTTAAGTTTTGAATTTATATTTATTAATTAAATAAATTTATATTTTATTAATGTAGTTATTTTTAATTAAATTTATTTCAAATAATTAAAATTAATTTAAATTTATACAAATTATATTTAATTAGAATTATTACAATGTTATTAAGTGAATTTTGTTAATATAATATGTGTTAAAGTTTTGAATTTTTATTAATGAATTTTGTAAATTACTAATTATAATAATATTATTTGGAGCCTGCTTGGTATTATCGAATTTTTATTAGGGAATTAACTCACAATTCGTTGTGTAGCCTCATGAAGCCTGAAAAAAAAAAAAAAGAAAAAGAGAATATAACGAAACTCACACATATACCACATGGATAATTGAGAATTGTATAATAAATTAAGTTACTACATCTAATTCGTTATTTAAGTTATTAAGTAATTTTTCTTTGCTTAAGCAAAAATTTGTCTTCAAAGCTTCATTCACATGCTTGGTATTTGAAAGAAATACCAACTTAAAT